GTAGTATATACCCTCGGTACTGGTATGTATCGACACCTGGAGATAACTAGTATGCCGTGGGTAGTAGTATATAACCTCGGTACTGGTATGTATGGACACCTGGAGATTACTAGTAGGACGGGGGTAGTAGTATAGAACCTCGGTACTGGTATGTATGGACACCTGGAGATTACTAGTAGGACGAGGGTAGTAGTATAGAACCTCGGTACTGGTATGTATGGACACCTGGAGATTACTAGTAGGACGTGGGTAGTAGTATAGAATCTCGGTACTGGTATACGTATGTATCGATAACTAATTAACCACGCATGAGTTCCCCCGAGTTCCGAGGCTCGGCACACATTAGTTAAGCGATGACAGTGTATATTTTAATCCACTTCGGTCGATCACGTGCATTATACCTAATTCCCGATGGCATCATAATGATTAAAAGCAAAACTAAAATATGTATGTTCTGGGACTCAAAATAAGTAGGACATTTCACACAATGGTAAAATGTAATGTATCTTATAGGTGCCCTAAACGAGGTAGGCGACTGATTGTTTATGCTGTGGGTTTTTTTCTCCCGCGAAAAAAAGAGAACTCTTGACATCCCAGAGACCTGACAACTCGTATATATATGGCATGACAAATCATTTACGTTTGGCGTAGTTTGCAAACAATAAATAATTGACGTACAGTTACAAATGCTACAGTGTATATAATTGCCTGGTACACCACATAACAAAATCGCTTCTACATGACATCGTTCTGTCCCGGACAATTAACAAGTACCCTTCGGCGAAATTACTTTTACCTGACATCGTTCTATCCCAGACAATTAACAGAAACCCCTATGCAAAAATAACGATACCGACGTATTGGAAATTCGACACAGTTACGAACATGTTATGGCTAAATCGAAATCAATACTTTGTATAGTGTTGCCATGTCACTTTGATTTGGATCTGTTTTGTAAATGCTTTCTCTATTTTGTATTTGTGTGTACTTTATGAACCTCTGCAAGGTCAATGTGTGTCAATTGGTTACACTGAAATATGCCTTTGTAAGTTCACCATGGTTAGTCAATTGGGTGTATATACACTGTATCAGTGAATCAATGGGTATCATAAGGGAAATTAGTGTAAATTATTTAAAGGAATTAATCATTAACACATGAAACACGACATTTCCGCGGAATAATACACCGCCAGTTTTGTATTTAACGTTAGATCTAAATAGTAAATTTGACGCCGTCGTCAAAAAACCCATCGGTTCAGTTTGGTTTCGTTCTTTCGTCGCTGTTAGAAACACATGGGTTGTTCTGTTTTCTAAAAGTAATTCAAATCCATACAAATTTTAATTACAGTATACATATGCGATGTCGCAATGTTTCTATAGCAGGTATACATTTCCCTGCAGACTTTCGAGACTGGTTCGGCCAAATGTTATTCTAACTATTTCTTCTTATTTATACTTAAAAATATTCGCATACACGTTGCTGTGTGTTTCAAGGTGCAATACAGTACTATGTAATATAATAATACATAGTACTGAAGAAAATGACCTTCAGCTGAACATTAACATCGATCGATATTCTGATATAAAGAAGTTATCTTATAAGGTACATGTATCAATGCAACTACATGTAGTTTAAACAAGAGGCCCATGGGCCTTAACGGTCACCTGATATATTTATACAGAGAGTTGATTTTGTTTTTAACATGAACAGAAATATTATTCAAAGTGACAAAAAACAATAAAACCACCTTACTCAATATCTAGCATACAGATTTCAGACTAAAAAGGATTTGAAACTAGCACCTCTGATTCTTAACAAGGAAAATGAAGAAATTTTAGCACACTGACTC